GGGGGGGGGTGAGAGAATTCATCAGAGACAGAGAAGGGAGCAGACCAGGCAGATTGACTAAATACACTGCTGAGGGGAGACAGGAGAGGTCTGCTGCGCCATGTGAGTCACCTCCCTGGCTGGGAATCGAACTTGGAGCTGCCGTGGGTGTGAATTGCCACATAGTGCTGTGCCTCCGGGAAGGGCCAGAAGGCATTTCTTTCTGAAAACCCTGGTGGGCTGGCCCAGGGCCAGGCTGTAGTCTGAGAAGGCAGGCAAGGAGGCCTGGACTCTGCCAGAAGGACCCAATCTGAGGAAACCTGGGGCACTGGAGACACAAATGAGGTGTGAAGGGGCCCCCCAACTCAACAGAGCGGCCTTTCCCTCCAGAAAGAAAGGACGAGTCACTTTTCCTTCCAGGGTCCTCACTTGCTTCACTCCCAGAGGAGCAGCAGCCAGGACCCAGGTGGGGGTAACCATGGGCCAGGACTTCCAGGAGAGAGAAGGAGCAAGTTTTGGCCTAGTGACAGGGATCAAAGTCCTGGGCTGGGCTGGGCAAGTCCTCCACAGCAAGGGTGGCCTGGGTCCGAGGGAGGAACATTTCTCAGGTCCACATTGGGCCCAGCCAGGTCCTGCGGCTCAGACGCTCCGCTGCCCCGGCAGCCCAGGGCTGAGGCTGTCTGTCACCTTAGCCTTTGCTTTCTGCAGATCTCGAAGCCCCAAGAGCAAAAGAAAAGAGAAGAACAAAGAGAGGAAAAGGTGAACACCTCCCCTCACTTTCCAGCCCTAGAGCTTCTCCCGCTCCCCTTCTCCAAGCAGCAAGCCTGGCCTTCTAGAATCACAGAAACTGGCCCTAGGCTAGGCGAGAACTTACTTTGTGACCCTTGCTGAGATGGAAAAATTCAGACCCAGAAAGGAAGCCAAAAGCCTCCCGTGGGTCAGTCCAGGTCCTTTTGAGCTTCGTCCTTGTCAAACCATCCATTCCCTTCCCTCCAGTCAGACCAGCACCAGCTGAGGGGGATGAAAGGTCTTGAGCAGGGACGGAATTTTTTTTTTTAAAGAACTGGGGTACAGGCCAGAGATGGGAAGGGTGAAAGGATTCACCACAGACAGAGTGGGGAGCAGAACAGGCGGATCAACGAAGTACACTGCTGAGGGGAGCAGCGGGCGGGCCAGGAGAGGTCTGCCCTGCCATGTGGTCACCTCCGGGGCAGGCGGGAATCGAACTCATGCGGAAGTGGCTTAAGCTTCTTAGTGCTGTGCTTTAACCCGCTGCACCACCAGGGAGGGCCATTTGTGGGTATTTTTACAAGAGACTGTGGGAGGCTGTCCAGCAGTGATTCTCAGCAGGCCCTCCCGGGACCCCCAGGCGGGGTCTGCAGAAGGTGGTACAGGCTGATTTCTGTCCTAGGCCACATGCAGAGGCCCCTGGCTGCAGGTCCCATCGCCATAGCAGTGGCAGCTCCCACAGCCCCTCCCTCTCCTCTCACTACAGTGATTCCAGATCACCCAGCAGGTAGGTCCTGGGGTGGGCAGTGGCCTCTGTATGTGCTTGAACTCCATTTCGTGCGGGCTGGGGAAGGGTGCAGAATATAGCTTAAACACCCCCAAGAACTGGGGAGCGTGGACTGGGAAGCTGGACAGCAATTAACATTACCGTGTGTAGAAGTTTGCTGGGATGTGCTGGAAGCCGACACAGGTGAGCTGTTGCCCTGCCTCCAGGCCCCCAGCCTACCCTGAATTGTAAATGGGACAGCTAGAACTGGGGGCTTGAATTCGAAGCGTTCCCGGTGGGGGTGTGGAGGTGTGGGGGAGGAGGCTGCCCTCCCTGTGAGGCCAGAGCCTCAGCAGAGCGGGCGTTGCAGGCCGGCTCCAATGGTCCCTTCCCCCAGGCTGAGCCCTAAGCACCGAGAAGACGGGCGGAAGACTGGAAGCCAGCGGTCCAGCGGGAGCCGGTCGCCTTCCCCATCTGGCGGCAGCGGATGGGGTTCGCCCCAGCAGAATGGCGGCAGCCGGCAGCGGAGCGGAGAGCAAGGCGGCCGACCGGGCTCGGCTCCCAGCCCGCCCGATGTACGTACATTTCGCTTTGCAAAGGGTTCCCGCGCCGCGACGGGGGGCTGCGCCGGGCTGGCGCCCAGGGCTGGGGGCCTTGAGTGCCTAAGGGGCCCACGGCCGCCCGCCGTGCGCACTCCCGGCACCCGAGCGGCGGGAGAGCTTGGTCCTTGTGCCCACCTGTCCCTAGCGTCAGGTTAGGGGGGCCCTGCAGGCTGGGGCCATGCCTGAGCTTGGTACCCTGAAGAAAGGGCTTGATCGCTGGCACTCATCCAGCGGGGTGCCGAGCTGTAGAAGAACCAGTGTCTCCTGCTTCCCTTCCCCCAGGCATACTGGGGTGGGAAGGGACTTGGACGTTGGCAGAGGTCAAAGTCAGAAGGGAATTCAAGCGACAGGGTCTTCCCAGGCATCACTCCGGTCCTGAGCCTCCTCCATCGCCAAGCCCTTCCCCTGTCTCCAGTGCCCTCCCTCTCCCCACCCTACCTCGCCCCCTCCCCTCTCAGACTGCTCCCAGTCACAGAGCTGCATTTCTGAAGCCCCTGCCTTCTCTGGGCACTGGCCACACTCCTGCCCTCTCTGGGCACTGGCCACACTCCTGCCCTTGCATTTGCCATAGCCGTCCTTCCTGGGCACCTCCAGGACCTCCCTCGGAGACTGCACACTACACCACGCCCAAAACTGTGCCACCCACCCTCCAGAGGAACACAGCACACCCTAGATGGTGATGACAGCACCTGGCAGCTGGATGGGCTAGGCGGGAGGCGGGCTCTTCCAGGCCCCAGAGAGGCCACCTCCGCATGTCTGTTGACAGAGAGTACAGTAGAGGCCTGCAGGGAAAGGGCTGCACTGGATGGGCATGGAACTCGGATGGGCAGGCCTGCAGGGCCTTCCCCAGGCCAGCAGCAGCCTCAGCCGGGGGGTCACGCCTCCCCAGGCCTCAGCCTCAGCAGCAAACATGTACGTGTTGGTCAGTTTCATTTTGATTTTTGGCTGTTTCCTTTCACTCCCTTTCTTTTCTCAAACACCCTTACTCCCGCAGCTGACTCGGCGAGGAAAGCCAAGGGCAGTTGACAAGAGGCTTTTGGTTAAGTTTTATGTAAGGACATTCCCAGTCCCTAGACAACCCACCTGAACAGGGTGCCAGACTCCTGAGCTCCAAGGTACCAGACAGCCTCATGGGGGAGGGTCGCTCCCATGTCCCCAGATCTCTTGGAGGTGAGAGAGCACATGCAGGGGTAGCTGTGGGCCGCAGTGGAGAGGAGCAAACCCAGAAGTGAGATTACCCATCTCCCACCCCACGGGCATAGCTTAGCAGCAAAGCCAAGCACCTGTCAGGGCAACTTTGCATCCTTCCGCAAGGCACAGAAGGCAGGTTCTGGGGATCTTCCCAAGACTTCTGCTCCCTCCCTGGCCCTGGAAGCCTAAGCAATACTCCAAGGGTTCCGGGCCTGTGAGACAAAATAGTCGCAGAACTAGGTGGACCCCAGGACAGCAGGCAGCGGAGGTGGCTTGGGCGCTGACCTGGGGAGGAAGCCTTGGCAGCACCTGATCTGTGTCCCTCCCACAATGGGACTCCACTTTGGCATTGCCCTGGGAGTTCCTTAGGAGACAGCACTGATTCCTCCTTTCACAAAGCTGGCCTGAATCCTCTCCCTCCCCTTCCGACCCTGGGAGATCTGGGCTTTCAGGACACTGTAGGCCTCTCACCTTACTGGGTCCATGCTGGCCTGTTAGCCCTCTCTGAGGCGTGAAGTTGGGCTAGTGCTGCCCACCTCCAGAGAGGTGAGATGGGGGGAGGGGTGCCCTGGACTTGGGCATTCACCAAAAAAAAAAGGGGGTTTTGGGGAAAGGTACTGGGAGGTGGGTATTCTTGGACAGTAGCTAAAAAAAAAAAAGAGAGAGAGAGAAACAAACTGAAAAAGAAAAGCTCACCGTTTTTAACCCCGTCTATGTTTTTGTTTGTTTTTTTAGCCTCCCATTTGAAACGTGGTAATATTGTGATTCCATTTCTCCTTTAGCCGGCAAGGGAAGAGGGTGGGGGAGTTTATGTGACTTTTCCTGTTACTTTGTTTTTGTTTGTACTTCCTTTCCCTCTCCCATTTTGTTTTGTTTTGTTTTCCTTTGTAATGTACAGAAATGCAAACTATTCTTTCTGGGTTTTTCTCTCTTCTGTGTTGTTCTAGAATTTTGCTTTTGTGTGTGTTACTGTGGGAACCTCTCCTAATGCAGAGATGGTTTTGAATCTCAAGTGAACATTAATCATGTACATTTCTCTATAGACTTATTTCCCCCTTTGTGACCAGGATTTAAAAGGGAAGATAACTTAAAAATGGCTCCCGGGCCAAAATCTTCTGCCAAATCTACATGCAATCTACATGCACAGCCAGCCCTCTCCTCAGCCCAGGGGCATGCTGGAACTGTCTCCATTTTTAGATTAACAAAAATGGTGCAAGCCATGCTTCTGTGATCCATCTTGAAAGAGCCTTGGAGAGAAATTGGGAAATCCAGGAAGTGGCAGATCCAGGGAGCTTCCTGTGTCTCCTCAGTTCTGTCTAGTGTGACACGGCTGCTGCGAACCTCCCATAGCTTCCATGCCAGGCCTCAGATCCTTAGGTGGCCCTGAACGAGAGACCTGAAGTCACCTGAGACAGTTTAGCTCACACGAGGGTTTCAAAGCCAGCCACTCCCAACTAGAGAAAAATTCCATCCTGGTCTTGAGACTTGAGACTAAGGCCAGCAGAGTGGTGGCTGCCAATACATCTTGTTGACCAGAGGGACCAGAGGGATTCGGGGCTTCTGTTTTTACAGAAACAGCAGCTCAGAGAAAACTGAGGACACTCATCTCAAGGTCACACAGCTTTTTAGAGGTAGATCCAGAAGGAGACAGACCCCAGCCCTTTAACCTCAAGACCCCCTCCACCCGCTAAGCCATGGGGAGGCTGCTATGTGGGCAGCACACTCTAGGAGCCTAGCTGGAGGACCATGCCGGGGCCCCTCCATGCTGGGGCTGTCTGTGCCTGCCCCCAGCTCTCTGTCCCTGGCACCAGGGAGTGGTGGGCCTTGCAGCATGCAAGCTCATGCCTAAGTGCGATGTTTCAGTGACTGAGGGAGCCCTCAGCCCTTACAGTTCATGCACCAGTGGGGAAATGACTAGTGACGCACAGAAGGAAGGGAGCCACTCAGGGTCAGTCACACATTGTAGGATGGGAGCGTGACATGCTGAGCAGGAGACCTCCTGGGAGAGTCCTGCCATCCACTCTATTGGGGACCTTTGTCCACCTCCTTCCAGTTCCCAGAGGTGCAAACCCAGCACTAGCCCTCAAGGCCCTGCACACTGGCCAGCAGTGGCCTCCTTCTATCAGTCGGTGAAGGTTGAAGAGGAGGTGTGTGAGCAAGAGCCCAGGGCTCTTCGATGCCTCTGCTGCTGGCTCAAAGACCCCAAGAAGAGATAGAACATCTCAGATAGAGCAGTGATAGAGTGGAACATCAGAATAGGAGGGACCTTGGCATTTCTTCCAGGATGAAGCAGAAGGCAGGAGGGATGCATTCTGAAAAGAAAAAAAAAGGCAAGGTGAGGGGGCAGGATCCACTTCCCTCTGTCGATTGAACGTGGTTGCCTTCCCTTTTAAATGCCCCCCCCCACCCCATCTGTCTACTCTGACTGGCCTTGTTTAAACAGCTTTGCTCTCTTCTGTCTGGGTCGCCCTTCTCTCTGTCCTTCTGTCTCGCCTTGCCTGTCTCTCTGTCACTCTCCCAGTCTCTCTCTTTCTCCCTTTCTCTCCATCTCTCTCCCCTGACATGGGCCCCTCCCCATGCTGCCAGGCCCGATAGCCCACCCTGTGGTTCTGCTTCCATCAGCTGCTTCCTGCATGCCCTCTGGAGGTTTCTGTTGTTTAAAGAGTTAAGGAAAGCTTGACTATTGGAGCCTGGGGGTTTAAAACAAACCGAAATGGCTGGGCAGGACCCCTCCCACCCCTGGGCTACACCTGAAAGCCACACTGGCTGCCCTGGTGATTCCGAGGGGGAGCGCAGCTCAGTCACTGCCTGTCCCCATTCTGCATTCCCAATGCAGACGAGACCTTCTTTTCTTCTTTTATTATTGCATTCCCGTCCCTGACCACTGAGAAGGTAGGTATCCTGGCTCCGCTGTGCGCTCGCTCCCATCTCCAGATAAGCCCCGCCACTCTGCTTGGTTTGAATGTGGTTTTCTTTCTCTCTCTCTCTCTTTCAATCTTGCTCTGGTTGGTTTTCTCCCCTCCCTTTTCTTTCTTTATTTTAGTGACTACTCATTTGTAACTTGCATTTTCTCTAAATGAGCTCAAAGCTGTGTTTCCTGGTTTGTCTTTTGGTTTTCTTGACATTCCCTGACAACTTTTCTGGTCCATTCTTCCCTCCTTTCCATCTGCTCTCCTCCTCTGTCTTCCTCTCCATCCCCACCCACACCACCCAGCCCCCTTCACCACCCTCTTTCTCATTTTGTTGTCCGAATGCATTTCTGTGTGGTTTTAGCACTCTGAATTTGTGTCCCCTCCTGAACTGTATGCTGCGGTTGAGCCTATTGGACTCCTGTTGTCTGGAGTAGCTGCTAAGCTCCTCACCCCTCACCCCTGCCAGCCCCTGTCCCACTTAGTCATGCACAATGGTGGAGGGGCCTGACCTGGACCTGTTGGCCTCCAGATCCAGGAGGAAGTCAGGCTTGAGAGAGAGCCCTGGCCCTCCCTCCTGGAACGTCTGGGCTCCCCTGGGTCTGGCCCTGGCCACAAGCAGAGCTGTAGGGTGGGGGCTGCAGGGCTCTGCAGTTGGCACTAGGGCTGAACTTCACAGCTGCATCTTTGGGTGTAATGAACTTAGGGGGAAGGGTGAGCTGGCCAGGAACAGACACTGGGCTTAGAGGGCCCACAGAGCAAAGTCTCTATGGGGCAAGGGGTAAGTAAGGTGCTGGGGAGTCTCAGGTTACCTACACGTCCCTCCTAGATTGCTGTCCAACCCAGACCGGGGCCCCTCAATTCCCCAGCATCCTGCCATCTTCTGATTTTGAGCTTACGATTGTTTTTTGGTACAGAATAATCCAGGAGAATAGTCCAGCCCACCACCAGTTGTTGGGTTAGAACCAGGCCTAGGTCCTGGAACAAAAGCTCATCCAGCCACACTAGATAATAGTTGGGGTATATGTTCAGGGACCCTATCTCCCTGCCCTGTCCAAGCTGGGCAAAGCATATAAATTCAGCATCCCAACCCTTTGTGAGGGCTGTGTAGGCCTGCACCCTCAGCTTAAGAAGAAGACCCTGCTAGTCACCTAATTCCTGCATGTTGACCCACCAGGCAGGGCCTGGAGAGTTGAGAACATTCTTCAACTCTGGGCAGTGCTGGGAGGACAGACAAGGACATTTTCAGGGAAGGAGAAAGTTTCACTGGTCTGATGGAAGAGACTCTCTCCAAGCCTGATAGGGGAGTGGCAGCCTTTGTTCTCAGGGACAAGAAATGGGGTCCTCATATGCCAGCTTAGAGGCTCAGACTGTTATCTGAACTCTGTTGTTCTTGTCCTAAAGGGTATCAAAATGCAGTGAGCACCTGTCCTCACTACTTCCTCCTTCAAAAATTCCTTACATGCAACAGCCTTGAGCCCATACTAAGCCAGTCACAGGCATGAGCCTGATGTGAGGTGGGGTTTGGGGGAGAGAGAACTTCCAGACAAAAGGGTCAGCAGCCACAAAGAGCAGGCTCTGGAGATGTTTGGGGGTCCCATCCAGCTATGAAATCCCATGGTCTCTGGGCCTGCCCCTCCTTCAATCCTTGAGGTGGATGAGATCCCCAAGCAGAGGGTGAGGCTCCCTCTCTGGTGACCTCAAGGTCACCCTCCTGACCTGGAGGTGCTGGAGGGATAGGTGGTTAAGGGTGAGGTTGGCTCTGGGGAGTCTTCCCCCAGGGAAAGCTCTGTCTGCCATCCTCACCTCCCACCCTCTGCTGCCTGTGCACCATGGGATTTCAGGCTTTCTGGCACTGCTCTGACCAACTGTCTGCAAGAGGACATGAGTTCGTTGTACTCTGAAAAGAATCTTTCCACCCTTTCACCCAACAAAGACTCCAATAGTTCCCATTTTACAAATGGAGAAATTGAGGCCCCAGAGTTAGGTAGCTTCTGTAAGGTCTCACAGCAAACTAGCTCAGGGCTGTCTCCAGGGTGTTCCACCTTGCCAGGTACAATCATCTTGGGTTCTGACAGGCCAGATGGCTTGGAAGCGGTGAGAGGGAAGAGTTTACATCAAGACATACAAGGCATCCAGATCAGCACCAAGAGTCTGGCGCAAGGTTCTGGACTGCATGGTTGAGGGCAGCAACATGTGGGCATGGGTATCTGCCCAACCCAGGCAGATTCCTAATACTCCCAAGTCTAAGGCAGTGGGATAGAGAGGGCCGCAGTGTCTATGGGGAGGAACAGCATGCATGGTCTCTGGTCTTCCCCCTTTGCTGGCCTTTGCCCTGGAGTTAGAACAAGCTACTCAGACCCACAATCCCGGCTGCAGTCAGGATTCACATCCAGGTTCTGGTTCCCCAGTTTAGCAAAAGCTTCTTAAAGGTAGGATCCAGCTTTCCCTTGAGTATTGTTGAGTGTGCATCAGCTGCCAGCCCTCACTGCCCCATCTGGTATCTGTTCACTTTATCCACATTGACAACCCAGGGAGGGGTAGACCAGAAATCTGGGGATTCTGGAGATTTCTTTCTCCTTCACCTCCTCTGAGAGTAAAGGTTGCTGAAACAGACCCAAGTACTGGGGCTGGGAGGTCCAAGAAGGAGTGTGTGTTAGAGAGACCAGGGTCTCCTGGTGCTATCTGTTGGCAACGGAACAGTCATCTCAGAGGAGCCACAGATGAACAACTCAGCCCCCATCTCTCCTAGCTTAGGGCGTGGGGTACACTGATGATAGGAAAACTGGGTTGCTCAGAATGGCGCCTTGATACCCACTCTGCACACCTGTGCTGCCTCAGTCCCAAGCAGGGACACCAAGCTGTCAGGACCCTCTTGGCTCTAGACAGGTGCTCTCAGTGGCTGTGGTGAATGTTCACTGGCCACTTCAGCCTCCAAGCATGAACTGGCTGTTCTTTTCCACTAGTGGCCTGTCTTCTTGCTCCAGCTCCAAGTCCAGGCTGGCTCCAGGCTTGCCCCCTCCAGGGAGCGCCCAAGGCCACGCCAAGGAAACCAGCCTCCTGCCAGCCCCTGCCAGTAAGGTGCCCCAACGGGTGATAACTGGTTTTGTTCTTCCAACTAAAAGGCGTTGGCCCTGCGCCTCTCCTAGGACACCCAGTTTGGCCCTGGCACTTCTTCCTTTCTCGGAAAATAGCACTGAGACCCTACTAGATGCTCAGTTCTGTGATTAAAAAAAAAAAAAATGGGTATCACAGAGCCGAATCCAAAACCAAATATACCCAGAAGGTGCTCAGGGTCAAGTTGGTGCTGGTGATCAGGATGGACTAGGGGTGGGGTCAGCCTTGTAACTAGTGCAACCAAGTGTCACCAGATGGAGGCCAAGAACTGGGGGAGGGGTCAGTTCTGTGGAGGGAGGGGGGTACAGAGAGCAGTCACAAGTGCACAGACAATCCTAGACTATTTGCTCTGAAAGAGACATCAGGACGCAAAGCCCAACCCTCTCCTTTTGTGAAAGGGGAAACTGAGGCCCAGGAAGGGGAAGAGATGTGATTAGGTTCACTTAGCCAGGTAGTGACACATTCTCGGATCCCTGGTTCCTGGCCAGGGCCCTCTTTGGTTTTCTGGATCCCAATCCTTATGTCCTAAGTCCACTTTTGGAAAAAAACATTTGACATCTCTGCCCAGCGGTCACCAGAGAGGTGCGCGCTCCGGAGCAGGTGCTGCCTGTCCTTCCCAGAGGCGGTGTGGCCTCCGCTAGGCCTAGAATGGGGTGGTTGCGTTTTTCTCTCTCTCTCTCTATCTCTCTTGCATTTTTTGTGAATCTAATGATGAACTTATGCTACCACACTTTTCCCTTCTCTTACACACCTTACCTACTAAAGGAGGAAGTGCCACTTTATTGGTAAGTGGACGTTAACCAAGAGGGACTTAAAAAAATCAGAACTTAAAAAAAAAAAGAAAAAGGAAAAGAAAAGAGAGAAACAGAAAGACAGTCGGGCGCTACTGACAAGGCCACAGGTCTCTTCAGGGCTGGAAAACAAAGAAAAATGTTAACAGAACAATGTCAGTTCCCCAGGAGTTCAGACGTTGTTTTTGATTTTGGTATCTAATTGACATTTGTGGATTTTGTTTTTTTATTATTTATGTTTTTCCTCCCTCTCTTCCGTTCAGTTTTGAATTCAGTTGCCCCGCCCCCCACCCCATCTGTGTGCCGTGTGCCCCTCCATCCCCTCACCCACCCCCCAAGTGCTGGGGGGGCCTGGCCTGCTGGGCTGGCCCTGGGGGGCTCCGGATGCCAGCCCTCTCTCTTCTCAGCCGGATCGTCGGCCCGTGGGGGGCCAATGTCAGCGCCCTTGCCCATCCTGAAGTCCCCTCCCTTTCAGCCCCCACCCCCACCGCTCCGTCCCTCTTGTGTTTTGCATGCCGAGAACCTTGCATGAGCTGCACTGTTGAGGCCAGAAGGTGGACACTCAGGAGAGGCAGAGGCAGGGCAGGCGCGGGGAACCGTGTGTGCGATGCTCCGGGACTGGCAGCTCCCGGCCTGGGCCTGGTGAAAGCCCCCTCTCCTTCTCTCCCCCCACCCACCCACCCTCATCTCTCTCTCTTTCTCTCGACTTACCCTCCACCTCTCCTGTCTCCTCTGTTTTCTCTCTGCCTCTCTAATTCTCGTCTCTTCTCTCCGTCTCTTCTGTCTCTCTCTGCCTCTCCGTCTCTCTGTCTCCGCCTTTGCCCCATCTCTCTCTGTCCCCGTGGCTCTCTCCGTGCCCTTCCCATCCCCTCCGTGCCCTCTCTGCCTCTCTCCCCGTCAGAAGCCCAGCTCGCCCTCGCCCAGGGCCCGCGACCAGGCAGAGGCCGACGCAGCCACACCGCCCGCGCGGGGCAAGGAGAGCCCCAGCCCGCGCTCGGCGCCGTCGTCTCAGGGCAGAGGAGGC